AAGAGCTGAAAGAGCTGAAATTCCAGAAATTAAGATAATAAATTTTAAATTTGTTTCGAATTACAAGTTTAAATAGGTATCCTCGTTTAAAAAGTTTTCCTACAAAGATAACGCTGTCACACGTTCCAGTTTTTGTGTCACCATATGTCAGAAAAGTAAATCTTTGAATGATGTATATACGCAAGTCAATATTGTACAATAGTTTTAAAGTTGATTATCATTAAAATATGGACAATGTATTGTTGTTATTTTTTGCTAGGATGCTATTTTTTTGTCTGCTTTTTTGTTGTTGTTGTTTTCTCGTTATCAAACAAACCATGGTCAAAGTTGGCGGATTGTATACTGGTTATAGGGTCTATCTTTTGGTCGAGGGTCGAGGGTCGAGGGTACCAAGTCGAGGGTCGAGGGTACTATGTCGAGGGTCGAATTTTAATAAAAAAATTTCAATGATGAATAAATATTCATTGGAAATTTTGATGGATAAGTTTTTATGTCGATGAAACGGAAAAGAGATGAAAAAATCCCCAATTAAAATCGAATGAATTTTCATATAATAATATAATAATAAATGAAAATTTACCGCTATATTCCATATACTCAAACCTACGAAAAATATGCACTACAAATACAAAGTTTTTGTTTGTGTTGTATTGTGACAGGGCTACCACAGGTCAATCAATGATCACGTATCAATCCTCTACATAAAAATATCACGTTTTCTCTAGAGAATACACGAGGCAATATTAAATAAAAATAAAAGTTACTTATTACTTTATGTTCACACAAATGCTCGGCGGATCTGTCGGATCTAGACAGCATTTATCAAATTTATTAATAATTCGTAAGGTAAACACAATGGAAAAAGCAACAGATTTGTCCGGATTTGTATTCGACTTTAACTTCGATATTTTCTCTTAAAAATGATATTTTTAAAGTATGCTTTAGCTTATGTTGGAATTTGATAAGCAATATAAAATATTCGCGTTCGACCTTTATGGGCTTTAAAACTGCTCGCTCATATTTTATATATTACATAG